AAAGGACCTTAGAAACAATCTATTCAAACCACCTCATTTTATAAATAAGAACATTAAGGCTCAGATAGGTTAGGTGACTTGCTCAGGGTCACACAACTCGTCAGTTCCAGACTCAAGGTCAGAATTTAAACCTCCAAACTTGTAGCCTGGGGCTCTGTTCTTTCTCAAACCTGTAAAAAATTGACTGCAGTTACACATTTAGTCCAGGACATCCTTGAAAATGAGTGTAATTAATAAACGTAAGCCATGAGGCGAGGAATGAATAGTTAGTTCATACCAAAAACGAGCTGCCAGTCACTGTGATAAGATCTGTTTCTTTCTGACAGCCATGGTTTCCTGCTGGGTTGGAGAATCCAAACTGGGTTTCTTCCTCCTGTCCAAAGAAGTCAGAGTCAGGATGTACGTTCCATTCTGCTTTGGTTGGCGTCAGTAGTTCTGAGACACTGTTCTCACAAAGGGTGCTTGACGGAGTCAGCGCATCTGTGTCCACAGTTAGCTTACTGCTGGGGGTCAAAGCTTGGGGCTCTTGACTGGAGTTTTTCATAGCCAAAGAGTCCAGAGATCCCAATGGCCCCCCACTTGGACTGGCAACGTCATCCATATCTAAGGGGCTCTGCTGAAAGCCGGTGGCTGTCGTTCCAAAAAAGAGAGAGGTATCCAGACTTTGAGGAAGGTCAGTGGTGGCCATCAAGGCCCGTGGGTCCACAGCCTGCCCTAAGGAATTATTATTGTTAGCAGGGAGGTTCCCAGCCAGAGTGGAGCTCACAGAAGCCACGTCAATAGTCAAGATTCCAGAGTTCACCAATGCCGTGTCCAGCACTGCAGCAGAACTATTACCAGGCACATCAGAGAAGAGAGACACTAGCTCTGCATCACTGAGATCACTCTGTCCCTGGCTGGTAAGTTCACTGCTGGGTGTAAGAGAATTTGCAGCTTCTAGCTGAGCTAAGAGATCCTGGCCGAGGTTGTGCCTTTTGGCCATGTGGGTCTTCATGCTGTGCTTGGACGTGAAGAGTTTATTACAGGTGGAGACTGGGCAGCGGCTTTTCCAGGTGTCCACATCCTGCAAGTGTTTCTTGGAGTGAATGTAGAGGCTGCTGCGAGCAGAGAACCTGGCACAGCAGCCTTCCACGGGGCACACAAAAGGCTTTGTGCCCAGGTGGGTTATGCTGTGGCCTTTCAGATGCTCGGCCCTCGTGAAAGATTTCCCACAGCCTTCCACAGGGCACATGAACCTCCGGTCGTCGTCGTGCTTCCTTTTGTGCCTTAACAGTTTGGACATGCTGGTGAAGTTCCAGCCACAGCCGTCAAAGTCACAAAGGAAAGGTCTCTCGCCTGTGTGGCTCCGCAGGTGGATTTTCAGCCGACAAGCCTTGTCGTACTGTTTGCTGCAGCCAGGAAAGGAGCAGGAAAAGAGTTCCTGTTCCCTGAAGTGGGCGCGGTTATGGGAAAACAGAGCACTCACCGTGATAAACGTCTTCTTGCAGCCGGAAAAGGCGCACTGGTAGGGCCTCTCGGGCTCGAAGTGGCTGCGCTGGTGGGCGCTGAGCTTGGCCTGCGTGGGGAAGCTGTCTTCGCACACCTCACATTTGAACGAGTTCTCCTGCTCGTGGCCCTTCATGTGCGCCTTGAGGTTGTACACGGTGGTGAAGCTCTTACCACAGCCCTCCGCCGGGCAGCCGAAGGGCCGCAGTTTGTCGTGCGACTGCAAGTGCCTCTTGAGCTTGTAGGAGGTGGTGAATGTCCAGCCGCAGCCGCCCAGGGGGCACTTGAAGGGCCTCTGGCCCTGGCTGCTGCTATGCGTCAGCAGGTGCACCTTTAGCTGGTGCTTCTTGGCGAAGGTTTGCCCGCACTGCGCCTCTGGACACAGGTACAGCACCATGCCGGAGCCCGGGCCCAGCGGCCCGCGGGGGCTCTCGGCGGCGGCCGGGCCCTCCGCCTCCTCCTCGGGCGCAGGGGCGGGCGCGGGTTCCGCCGGCTCGGCCAGCAGGAGGTCCGGCGGCAGCTCCGGGCAGTCGCCCGGCTGCGCGGCGTGCGGGACCCCCGCTTGCGGGGCGACCAGACCCCCGGGCTGCGGGGCAGGCGCGACCCCAGGCTCCCAGGCTGGCGGCGGGGGCGTGGCCAGGGTCAGGACGCCGTTCTCGAAGCGCAGCAGCAGGTTTTGGTTGTGGATGGTCACGGTGCCCGCGAAGGCCGCGGCGGGGCCCAGGCCTGGGGCAGGGACCGAGGACGGGGCCGGAGCAGGAAGCGCGGACAGGCAGCGGGGGCCTGGCGCAGGGCGGCCCGCGGGGTTCGCGCCGCTCTCGCCCCCCTGGAGCCCTGGGCTGGGTTCGGCCTCTTCCCTCCACACGGGCCCTGCGGCCTGGCCAGCACCCGGGGTCTCCACGTCGCCACCCACCGGGTCCAGCAGCACCAGGAAGAAGTCGCCGCCGCCGCCGCCGCCGCTGCCGCCGCCGCCGCCGCCGCCGCCGCCGCCAGGCTGATCGGGCCTCGGCGCCAAAGGGCTCGGGCCGGAGCCCGGGCCCCGTGAGGCCGCGCGGGCCTCCTCGCGCCGCCGCCCGGGCCCGCCATCTTGGGGGCCCCGGAGCAGCAGGAGGCGGCGCGCGGGGGCCTGGCCAGCCCGCGGGTCAGGGCCTCCGTGGACTCGGCCGCCGCCCGCGGGGCTGCCAGCGCCGCCGCCCTGTCGCGTCCCGCGAGCCGGGAGCAGCCTCGGGATTTCCATCTCCGCGTCCGTGAGGCTCCGCTGGAACCAGAGCCGCGGAGGAGGTGCGACCCCGCCCCCTGCCGCGGGCCCGAACACGTTCCTGAAAGGGAAAAAAAAAAAATGTGCAATGCGCAGAAACTGGCCCTATCAGATATTAAAACGTGTTTAACGCCACAGTGATTTAAATATTGTGGTACTGGGTCTCTGGAACAGAAAGAAAGCCCAGAGGCAGAGCCTGGTATGCATAAATAAATCCCACAGTTAATATTAGTAGGAAATCCAGCAGATCTTCCCAGGTAATAGGGAAATGACAGTTCATTTGGTAAATGGTGCTGGAATACCTAGATGTCTATCTGCTAAATGCAACTGAAATCCGTACCTCACTGTATATACCAAAACAAACACCCCCAGCCCCTCCCAGTGCTAAGCATGGTGCTTAGTACTGCTCATGTGTGAAAAATCGTTTGCTGGCTGGCTGGCTGGATGGATTGATAGATGAGAGACTATTCCTCAGAGAATACAGCATGTGTCAACGTTACTCTACCATAGTGCTAGCAATTGCTACTGAAAATGATGTCTTGTTGTTTGTTTGTTTGTCTTCCTGGACAACTTCCATATCCAGAATTGTCGAGCAGGAAAATTTGGCACATACTTAATTTTTTTTTTTTTTGATCTGCTGATGCAGAAATTAGAACCAGTAAGAGGTGGAGCCAAAAGAGGTTAGCACTGTTCAGCCTAGAAATGCAAAGCCTGGAGGATGAAACAATTTACATTGAAGTCTGGAAAACCCAAACCGGAACCAAATGCAGGTCTGGGGCTGCCTGCCGCTGGGAAAGCCAAATACTCGAGAGACAGGTGCTGATGTAAAGGAAAGTGGTTTATTTTCCGGTGCTGGCCACCCGGAAGATGGGGGACTCCTGTCTCAAAGCCCGTCTCCACCTCTCAGTGGAGGCAGAGGTTTTCCATAAGGAGGGAGAGAGGAACAGAACAAAGAGATCGAGGGAGGGGGTTGCAAAGTTCTCTATGTGCAGAGGAGCACAGTCCTTTCCGGTAAGGCAAGTGATGAGCCAGTGTGCATCATCCTGGTTTAGTCACGCTGGCTCCATGGTTGAAGGTCAGCAAATCTCCTGGAGCTGGGATGCCTGAAGGTCGGGGTCTGTATCTTTTGAAACTGGTTCCTAGGATTCTTATACAAACATGCTGTTCATCTATAAGCCACACATTAGAGTCAGCGCTTACAGGAACAACATCAGAAGAATGGTGGGGTGGGTTACCATTTCCCACCGTTACAATTTTCCACTGTTACAAAACCACTGCGTGGTTCTCTCTATACAGTGCACAACCCATGCCAACTCTTCGCCCTTCCACCATTGGTTATGTCGTAGTAAATTTTGTGTCCAGTCTCACAGCGCAAGAAGGACAGTGCTCAGCTTTCTCTAGATTCTTGAGCACAGGGAGGTCTCCAGGTGGGAGAACCAGTTAAACATGGTAAGATTAAACCCCAAGTCACTGCAGTGAAATCTCCCCAGAAAAATGCGCGGATGACCATGTGCAACACACAGCCGCCCCCCCTGCCCCCCCCCACACACCCTCTTCCCGTGCACCTGTTTGCATTTAGTTGCGGTGGCCGGATCTCAGGGTAATGGATTTGGCCCGTGATGCCTAATGAGCTTATCATTGATGATGATGATGATCCTCCAGTTTGCCTGTCATCAGTAAGCTGGGAATTGATATAAAGAGGGTGAAATACCTAGCAAGAGAGATGTTTGGAGAGATGACTTGATTATGGGGTACCGATAGTATAAGAATACTATTAAAGAATACCTGCTTCCCCCCTTTTTAATGATAATGTATACTTGCTGATCTCTTGATTAGAAGATCAAGTTTTTCATTCATAACAATTCAAACGTCATCAAAATTTCTACTTCACATGTTTTTCTTTGTAATGCACTTATTTGGAGGAAGCGTTTTTTTGAATCTGAGATACAGAGGATTGCATAAAACATATCTGCCAGGTTCAGACACTTTACAAAAGCAAACACCCATGTAACCAGGACCAAGGTCAAGAAAGAGACCGTTGCCAGTCTTCCAGAATTCCTTCCAGTCACGACCCACTCCCTCCCCTATGGACCTAGTCATTATCCTTACTTTGTGATAATCATCTCGGTGCTTTTCTTTATAGCTTTACCACTCTCTAGGAAGCTATATAAACAGAATTATACTGCATGCTTCCTTTTATAGCTCCCTTCTTTCATGCTGTATCATATTTGAGAGACTCATCCATGTCATTCATAGATGTAGATCCTCTGTGTCCATTGTTGACTAGAATTCCAGTGTATGATTTTAGCAAAGTGATTATGATATGATTATACCATCTACAGTAGATGGACGCCAAGGGTTGCTTTTAATTTTTGACTATTGCTATGAGCAATGCTGCAATTAGGCAAGAAAAGAAATAAAAGTCGTTCATTTCAAAAAGAACGATGTGAAACCATCTGTTTGCTGATGACGTGCTCATGTACCTAGAAAATCGTAAAAACTCTTCACAAAAGCTGTTGGAACTAATAAATGAATTCAGTACGGTTTCCGAATACGACATCAGCATACAAAATCCAGGCGTATCTAAACAGTAACAATCAACTCTAAAAAAGTAAAAATAAGGAAATAAAACTGTTTACAATAGCATCACAAAGTATAAAATATTTAAGACTAAAGTTAACTAAGGAGGTGTACATGGAAAACTACAAGACACTGATGAGAGAAATTAAAGAAGACAAAAATAAAATGGAAAGACATATTCATGGATTGGGAGATTTAATGTCAAAACATCCAATTATGAAATTCGACCCTTATCTAACATCATTCACAAAAATTAATTCAAAATGGATTAGACACTTAAGCGCAATACCTGAAATTGTAAATCTCCTAGAAGAAAATATTAGGGAAAAGTTCTGGGCATCAGTCTGGCCAATGATTTATTTATTTATTTATTTTTTTGGATATAACACCAAAATCACAGGCAAGCAAAAACTAAAATAGACAAGTGTGGCCACATCAAACTGAAAAGCTCTGTACAACAAAGGAAATAATCAACAGAGGAAAAAGACAACCCATGGAATGGAAGAAAGTACTTAGCAACCGAATATCTGATAAGGGGGCAATACTGAAACTATATAAGGAATTTCTACAATTCAAGAGAAGAAAAAAACACAAATAACTAAAAATGGGCAAAGTACATGAATGGACATGACTACAAAGAAGACATACAAATGTCCAACAGCTGTATGAAAAGATGTTTAACATCATTAATCACCAGGGAAATGCAAAACCAAACCGCAATGAGATAGTGCCCGTTTGTATGGCTAAATTAAAAATTTATTAAAAAGATAAAATAAGTATTGATGAGGATGTGGAGGAGTTGAAACCTTCTTAGAGTATTGGTGGGAATGTAAAATGGTGCAGCTGCTATGGAAAATAGCGTGGAGGTTTCTCAGGAAATTAGAAATAAAGCTACCATGTCGTCTAGCAATCCCACTTCTGGGTAAATATCCACAAGCATTTAAATCAAGATGTTTAAGAGATATTTGCACTCCCATGATTATTGCAGCATTATTTACAATAGCTAAGATGTGAAAGCAGCTTCAATGTCCATCAACAGATAAACTGATAAGGAAAATGTGGAATATGCATACAATGGAATGACATTCAGCCTCAAAACACAAGAAAATCCTGCCATGTCGGACCCAATGGATAGCCTTGAGGACATTATGCTAAGTGAAATAAGCCAGTCACAGAAGAACAAATACTGTACGATTCCATTTATATAGAATGTATAATGGTCAAACTCATAAAGGCAGATATTTATTTTCATTGAGACTTTACTTTTTAGAGCAGCTTCAGTTTCTCTGTAAAATTTACAGGAATGTACAGAGATTTTCTATATAACTCTGCCGTCATGCATGCAGTCTCCTCCATTATAAACACCCCCCATCAGATGTACATTTATCACAATTGATGAACCTACTTTGACACTTTATAATCACTCAAAATCCATAGTTTACATTACAGTTCACTCTTGGTGTTGGACAACATTCTATTGGTTTGAACAAACGTATCATGACACATACCCATCATCATGGTATCATAAAGAGTAGTTTCACTGCCCTAAAGTTCCTGTGACCTGCCTAGACACCCCTCCCCGCCCCCCAGCCCCTGGCAACTAGTGATCTTTTTACTCTCTCCATAGTTTTGGCCTTTCTTGAATTGCATTTAGTTGGAATCATATACTATGTAGCCTTTTCAGATTGGCTTCTTTCACTTCCAAATAATACATCTACAATTCCCTCCCCTGTTTTCATGGCTTGAGAGCTCATTTCTTTTTAGCCCTGAATAATTTTTCATTGTTTGTATGTATCATAGTTTGTTCATTTACCTGCTGAAAGACATCTTGATTGCTTCCAACTTTGGACAATTATGAATAAAACTGCTTACTGTAAACGTGAGCAGGTTTTTGTGTGGGTATGTTTTTAATTCACTTTGGTAAATACCAAGGATCGTGATTGCTGGATACTATGGTAAGAGTATGTTCAGTTTTGTAGGAAGCCACCAAACAGTCTCCCAAATTGGCTGTACATTTTTGCACTCCCACCGGCAATGAATGAGAGTTCCTGCTCTTCCACATTCTTGCCAGCATTCGATGTTGTCAGCATTCTGGACTTGGCTATTCTAATAGGTGTGTAGTGGTATCTTATTTTGTTTTAGAAGCAGAGATTGCCATGGTGTTTGCCAGGTGCTAGTGCGATGGGGAAATGGAAAATTGCTTTCAACATGTGCAAAGTTTTAGTTTTGCAGGATGAATCCATTTTTAGACATCTGTGTGCCTATAGTTAACGATAATGCATTGTACAATTTAAAATTTGTCAAGCAGATAGACCTCATGTGAAGAGAAAAATTAATGCTTGTAAAATACCGCGAATGTGGATATGGCACTCTGTGAGCCCACGGATGGTAGTATTGGC